TGTGTGTGTGTGTGTGTGTGTGTGTGTGTGTGTGTGTGTGTGTGTGTGTGGGAGTGCTAATGAGAATCTGAAGATTGTGAGTGTGTGTATGTGCATGTATGTGCTTGGTTGTTTGTGTTTACTGAATAGCAGGTGAGAGAATGTCTTAACTCTTCTAACAATGTATTGCACAGTGGTTAGCACGTGTGTGTCTTTGGTTTTACACTCACACAAGGAACCCAGCAGAGCAGAGCTTCTTAACTTGAGGAAGAAGTGTGATGAAGAGCAGATCTCTGCACCTCGATTAACCCAGCTAAAACTCCCTATCGTGTTAGCTCCACCCCCTCAGCACAATGTCAGCAGCAGCTCTAAGATCAGCGGGATGCAGCACCGCTGATCACCCTTCCCGCAACCTCCAGTTCTTCCTATATTAGTCTAACCACTTTATTCAGCCACACAGAATTTATAGCAGTTTTGCCAAAGGATAATCTTCCTGTTAATCATATTGAACAACACTTATTCTGAGGTGGTACTTTGATGGTATATTTTGGTAATACCACAGTGCTTTTATCTATACCATATTGAATAATATACTCAGTGGAATTACTTGGAATGGTCAACTAGTCATCCCGCAACCGACCTATGATTAGAGTAGTCCAGTGGTTCAGGATCTTGATTTTACATTGGACATTTAGTGGTGAGCCAAGAAATGAGATGGAGGTGATTTAAATAATGAGAGAAGTTTAATTTTTGGTTGAACTTTTCTTGCATAGTTTTGTTTAAGGTTTTTAAGAATGAGAGAATTTTCAGGACAGTTATTTGTTGAATACCTATATAAGTCCTGTGAATAATCCTGTTCAAGAGCTGCACTTAGTATCTTCAGCATCTCCAACACAATATTCATTATTGTGTTACTCAATATCCCTCTCAGTATAGGCTAAAAATAGTTCCAATATGTTCTGCAGTTATGACAAAACAGCTTTTCAAACCTTTTTTTATTAACAGAAGAGAGCATTGTGCCTAAATATATGTATTAACTACAATTTGTTCTGTGATTCTAGAAGTTTTAGGAACCGTATGTTCTTTGATTACAGTAGTTGCTGATTTTTAGCTATGGATTTAATTATTGATAGTTGTGCGTTTTTTTCGTTTGTTTGTTTTTTATTTTATCTAGAGCCACTAACACTTTATTAGAACTTTTTAGTATTTTAATTTAGAGATAGATTAAAAATACATACATACATATACATATACATATTGTTAGGTCCATATATATTTGGACACTGACACAATTTTCATAATTTCAGCTCTGTAATTTCTGCCTTTAGTCTTGTCTTCAGCAAGTGAAATGCATGCTCAATCAGGTTGAAATCAGGAGATTGACTTGGCCATTGCAGAATAATCCACTTTTTTACCTTCAAAAACTCCTGGGTTGCTTTTGCAGTATGTTTTGGGTCATCGTCCATTTGTACTATGAAGCGCTGCCCAATCAACTCTGTGCATTTGGCTGAATCTGGCCAGAGAGTATATCCCTATACACTTCAGAATTCATCCGGCTGCTTCTGTCCTCTGTCACGTCATCAATAAACACCAGTAACCCACTGGAAGCCATGCATGCTCATGCCATCACACTGCTCCATGTTTCACAGATGAAGTTGTATGCTTTGGATCATGAGCTGTTCCAAGCCTTTTCCATACTTTTTTTTAATCCTGTCATTGTGGTACAGGTTGATCTTAATTTCAGCCGTCCAAAGAATGCTTTTCCAGAAGTGGTCTGGCTTTTTTAGATGTTTTTTGGCAAAGTCTAATCTGGCCTTGTTTTCACCTTGTGGTGAACCCTCTGTATTTGCTCTGGTGTAGTCTTCTCTTGATTGTAGACTTTGACAGTGACCCGTCTGCCTCCTGGAGAGTTCATCCACAACTGTTGTCCTCTGTGGGCGTCCAGGTCTTTTTATGTTGCTGAGCTCACTAGTGCGTTCTTTTTTTCTCAGAATGTACCAAACTGTTGATTTGACCACTCCTAATGTTCCTGCTATCTCTCTGATGGATTTGTTTTGTTTTTGAAGCCTAACAATTGTCTGTTTTACTTGTATGGAGAGATCCTTTGACCGCATGATGTGAGTTTACAGCAACAGTTTCCAATTGCAAATGGCACACTTAGAATCAACTCCAGACCGTTAAAGAATAGCCCACATGAAACAGCTTTTGAGTCAATTGCCCAATTACTCATGGT